CAGCAAGCCGAGTAACGTGGCATCTCGCTGGATTATTCAGAGTTTATCTTCTCAGAGTTCACACCGATTCATTTTCTGCTCGATTATTAATTCAAGTTTGGCGGGGCGTAGTGGGGAAAAGCGAGGGGGTAGAAGACAGAAAAGGAGCTAGACGGAGAGGGAACTTGTGGTTATGCCAGCCCAGAGTTTCAAGCATGAAGAGAGCATGGCTGTTATGTTAAGCCTCTCCTAATTAAAAGCAAAGGAATGGGAAGAAAGCAGTAAAAAAATAAAAGCGAGATGAACGAACAAAGAGGGCCAGAACTAGTTCTAAGCTGGTCATAGCTGGTTCTGCTGGCTTCCTCAATGGGCCCGCTGGTTTGGAGTGTAGGTTCCCTCCCCTCCTCTTTCCCCCTACTTCTGTTTATGCTTTGTAGCTAATGTGATACTAAGGCTTCGTCCTTTCAGACCAGGATTGGGAATACCAGGGGGCCAAATGGGAGCCTGGAGACGCATGTCAGCCTGTGCTTTCAGGACTCAGCACTCCAACAGGTCCATCATAAGAAGCCACAGGGAGTCATGCACCAATGAAGGCAGGAAGAGACCACAAAAACAGCTATAGAGACATCATGAGCCATATAGTGAAAGGAGGAAAGCGAGAACAACACCTCTCAGTTGAGTCAAGAAAGTGATGACTTATTCAGTTGTACGGTATCGGAGCAAAAGGTTACTGGCTGTTTTGCAAAGTTAATTTGGCAGTGGCAGAGGTTTGATGGAGCTGTTTTGTCATGCAAGAAGGAAGAAACACATGAGAGAAATACTGAGAGCCAAAGTCTTCTGTCTGTCTCTAAGGCCTGTAAAGGAAAGTAATTGTTTTTTATTTATTTAAAACTTTCAGGCCATCATTCAAAGTTTGTCTTGATGAACCTTCTTTTTTCTGTTGTTAAAAATGATACTTATTGCAGTTATATGATTTTTTTTGTTCATTGTAACACAGTGTCTACACCAGATACAAGGAATCAAAGCGATCCAAATACTCTGTTTCTCCAAGAGTAGTTCACATGAAAACTAACCATAGAGAAAATGCAGATCACATTAATGCATGCTATATCACCCTTAGTGGCGACATTGAGAATCAGTGTTTCCCATACATTGATTTATTTGTGGCGGCCCGTCACAATATCAAAACTGACTGCCACAAATAGATTTTCCAAAAGGCTTTGACTTCGTTGAATAAACTGAGCACTGCTTTTCACTGCATTTCAAAATCAAAATACGGTGCGGGTGCTTTTATATCACTGTATTTCTGAAGGAATCCGACTGTCTTCAGAAAATTTTGGATGCCATTTTCGTTTCATCTTGCATGTAATGTCTGACAAAGCAGCGTTTGTGAGCGGAGCGCTGCTTTGTGTGTGGAGATGGTCCTCACTGCAGAACACAGGATCCAGGGGGTGTTGTTGGATCCAGATCCAACTCCTCCCACCTTACATATACCTAAACCTACCCATCTCCACCCCCTGATCCCTAAACCCACCCATCTCCACCCCTAAACCTACCAATCTCCACCCCCTAGATGTGGATCCAACCACGCCCCCTGGATCTTGTGTTCTGCAGTAAGGGGTTACTGTGCGTTACCGGGGAAACCTCTATATCTCCCGCTCTACAAGCACCTCCTGCTGGCAGAGAATGAGTTTGCATATATGCCGCCACAAATAGAGTGTAAAGTCTGTGGGAAACACTGGAGAATGCAACTCGTGCCTGAGCTTAAAGTCAGTGTGACATCAGAATTAACAAATATTATTTTTAAATGGAATATTGCAGTGTTTATTATAAATAATTAATCCCTGGCATCATTTGTTTTTTAAAAATCATACGCCCCTGTAACCCTATGATCTAAAGACAGAAACAATACTGTACTAGGCCTACATCGATGTTTCCTGTCGGCTCAGTTTTGGAGTGGATTTTGCTGTTCCGATGAGCATGAATGGTATACGAGTGGAGCGACTGAGCGGAGCGCACACGCATAGAGGGGGATAATACGCAGAGCGTCACACCACGTAAAAGTGAAACCTGAGCGGTGAACTAATTTTCGGCAGCCAAAATTTCGGTGCATCTCTAATTATTGGCGACATCAGAAATTGATATTATATAATAGATGCTTTTTTGAACATTTTAGAAATTAAAAAATATTAAAAAAAGATTTTTTACACGGCACCCCTGCTCTCGACAGACGGCACCCCGGTTGGGAAACACTGGATTAGACCACAGCCCTTCCAGAATGATAGCACACACTTGTCACAGTATATCAAAAAGTTGTACCCGCTCATAAAAATAGCAGTTTCGATAAAAAATAATAATGATATCTATGAAATTCAAGTATGTACCTAAAAATGATCCAGTGTGGCATGTGTTTTCAACAATGTAATAAAAATAAATTAAAAAAACAGCTTTTCAGAATATTTAAAGGAACAGTTCACCCAAAAATTGAAAATTGCTGAAAATGTACTCACCCTCAGGCCATCCAAAATGTAAATGAGTTTGCTTTTTCATCAGAACAGATTTGGAGAAATTTAGCATCACATCACTTGCTCTACAGTGGATCCTCTTAAGTGAATGGGTGCCGTCAGAATGAGCGTCCAAACAGCTGATAAAAACACCACAGTAATCCACAAGTAATCCACTCCAGTCCATCAATTAATGGAGTTTTTATGAAGTGAAATGCTGTGTGTTTGTAAAACATCCATCCAAGACTATAATTTCTGGCCAAAATATGAGGTATAATCCATAATAACGCCATCCCCAGTTGTCCTCTCACATCAAAATTCACCAAAACATTTTTTTAGAGCTGTTTTGAACTGTTTTCACTTGTAAACTATGCTTGATCTGTGCATATTTCACTTCTGATTCAGTCAAAACGACTTTTCCTCTTGAAGAAGCAATATTATGGATTATGAAGTTGAAATTGAAGTTAAAAAGACGGAATGATGTTTTTTTCTTACTAAAGTGCATCTTTTCACTTTAGAAGATGTTAATTGATGGACTGGAGTGGATTACTTGTGGATTATTGTGATGTTTTTATCAGCTGTTTGGACTCTCATTCTGACGGCACCCATTCACTGCAGAGGATCCATTGTTGAGCAAGTGGTGTAATGCTACATTTCTCCAAAATCTGTTCTGACGAAGAATTAAACTCATCTGCATCTTAAAATGGCCTGAGGGTGAGTACATTTTCAGCAAATTTTCATT